CCCTGTATCTATTGAACTGCAGAATCAAGTAACTGTAACTGTGCTGTACTAGGAAGCAATGATTGGCTTGATTTAGAGATGCAGTTGTGATTACTCATTTCAAAGGCATTGCGTCTCTGAGAGGAGAAACAAAGTGATGTTCATCCTGTCAGGCACCAATGACCAAAGAGTAACCCTTGCTGCAGCATTCTGAAATCTCATTCTGAATAAATGACTGTGATGCCTCCCAGCCCGGTAGCAGTGCCCCCTTCAGCTCTTAGCGCCGTGCTGGTCAGAGTGCTGCACTGTGTAGTACTGAGCGGTGCACAGCAGTGCTGTTCTTCACAGTACAGCTCACCAATGAATTGAAGCTGGTGAGGGCTGAAAAAGAAACACTGATTTCTCTACTTTTCTCAACATAAGGCAGAGTTGGGTCTGGCTCCCTTATCTCTGGAACAGAAACCACTCTTAATTCCATGTACCAGCAAGTCTGCACAGCGCATCCCGCTTTGATTGTCAGCTGTTCAGTGCTTGCGTTGCAGCAGCTCCCTCAGTTGACATATTCAGGGTAACAGTAGAAATGAGACTGTTTCACTCACAGGCTGATTTGCCATGGGCAGCTGACAGTCTAAGCACTGATAGTAGTGAAAAGCTTCTCCCTGATACATGTATTGATTTGTGATGTGTAGCCAGATGTCTCCTGTGATATATCAAGGGGGAATAAACCCAAATTCCTTAGTTTTCCTTAGTGAAGGTGGGACTTTGCAGCTTGAGTGACCAGACTGCCTCTTCTAATATTACTACTAACTGTGCTTCTCTGGTTGATTACTAGCATATTGAAATACTGCATTATTGAGTGTTCTGCATCTTTTTTTTAGGCATAAAGCATGAATGCCAAGCAAATGGGCCAGAGGACCTCAATCGAGCTTGTATTGCTGAGAAGCTAGGAGGCTCCCTAGTCGTAGCTTTTGAAGGAAGTCCCGTGTAGATGTCATACAGTGCCACAACTCTACAAGCATTCCATGTTTTAATATATCAGTTATGTAAAGCAACCATTCTAGGCAAGGGTTTCACTAACTGTAGGGAAGCTGTCTTGTAGAATAAAGTAGATTTTGGAGATGTAGCTCGTATGTACAAATGACCTTAAATAAATCAAATTAAGGATTTATCTTGGTGTATTAATATTTGCATTGGTTGTCTATCCCAATACTTATCCCCAGTGAATTAACACTAAAGGTCTCCAAAAATTCTGATTCAGCAGTGTATCATGGGATGAAGGGGGGAGGATGATGAGAACAATCTGGTTCCTGTTCTTTTCTAAATTAAAATGAGCAAAATCATCAGTCTTTCTGAGGCTACTGGCCAAACTGCCAAACCAAAAACTTTCCCCTTGAATCATTTAATGCAAGACTTCAAACCTGTAGTTAAAGCTAGGCACCTAAACAGAGCTAAATTCTTAGTGCTTGCAGTTGCACAGCATTACTAATAAAGGTTAATTAGGAGGATAAAATAGAGATTGAAGTAGGCACGCTTTCCTGGAGAAAGTCCTAATCGTTCTTGTAAACTCGCAGTGCAGTAATCTTTGAAGGTTTGCTTGTTCCTACAGGTTAACATTGGTTATGAAGTGTCTTGAGATCTCCTCCAAGGCTGAACTGAATGATCCTATTAAAATTGCTTTTCCTTTGGCATAGGTTAATTTAGAACTACCTTTTTTCCATTAACGCTTCCTAGCGGATCAGATGCTTCTGAGGCTTTGACAAGTGCAGATTCTTCCATTGGAGCTCTCCAGTTACGGGCAGTACAATGAGAAAGAACCACTTGGAAAACAGCAAAAGATTACAAGTGGTGTTCTCAGCCCTAGTCTTGGTCACTTGGTCCATTTGTCCATAATTATTATTGATTTAACTTGGTAGAACCAATCAGCCTGACTAATACGGCTTGATCTGGGCTTTTTGTCTGTTAGCTTCTTTAATTCTGTAGAAATGCATGGAAATATCACCTACTAGAAAGTCTGACCTGAAATGCCTTTTGTATGGGGGGGTAGAGAACATTCCTGTGCCAGCTACAGAGATCTTAAAAGCTTCCATGTTTCACCAGTGGTTAATTAAAGCTGTTTCCTTTGTGTAATGTGTACATGGAAGTTGCATAGAGTTTTCCTGTATGTCTGTAGAGAAAAAAAAAAAAAAGAAAAAAAAACCCTTAGCCTCCAGTGCGTTACTGTGGTATGTTCTGTGTGTGCCAAACTTGAATAGCTTAAATAAATGGGGTTTCTTTCCCCTCGGTCAGTGACTGATTCCTCTCCAGTTTGCAGCGGGGGAAAAGAGGCTGGAAGGAGAAGTGGGGGAGAAAGCATGTCCATGTCTCTGCAGCCTGTTGATGTCTTCCTTGGCCTCGCACACCTCAGCAGCTGAGTGCATAGCAGCCTGTGGCAGTCACAGGATCCACCATGGTGTCTGCTCCCTTCCTTCTGGGCTCCGGTCCCAGATGGCCACAGGGGGGGAGCTTCATGGGAAGCATCTCACCGTGGAGGCCTGTGTCAGTTACTTGGTGCTGCTTCTCCTGTCAGAACGGAGAGCTTCCTCTGGCCTGTCCCAGGAAGTTAAAGGCTGCCCCTTCTGCCAGGTACGTAGGGACAGCTGCTTGGTCTGCTGCTTTTCAGCAGAGCGCTACCAGGGAAGTGCTGCTCCCTGGCTTAATGCAGTGTCTGTGCTTTTTGGCTGTGCTGTGTATTTGAAGATTTAATCAAAGGCAAGCATTGACCACGTGCTCTAATGTGGTACCCGTGTGGAGCAAAGGGTTTCTGATATGATCCACTACAGCGAGATCCTATCAGAAGAGGAAACTAAACTGGCATCAGTGGGTGCTCCCGGCCTGTTCCCTCCTCAACTTTCAACCTGGCACAAGGGAGTAACCATCTCCATAAAAACAGCTCTTCTGTACCTTGGTGTCTGTCCAAAGTTCAGGCTGAGATAAGAAAACCAGTGACACAGTGGGAGTGGTGCTGCCTGACAAATAAGGGGAACTCCCATTCAGGAGTCAACTGATAACTAACACCTCCAGACTGCAGCTAACATCGAAGAGCAATTCAGGCCTGGTGAAGCTGGTGGACTTCTCCCTGGGATTTCCTTTTTTGGTTAGAGAAGAGCCTCAACAAAGGGGGAAGGAAGTCAGATGCAGAGGCAGGAGGGTGCTTCTCACCACGTGAAAGCATTCAAGCCAGGAACTTGGGTGCAGAGTGCTTCAGTCGGGGACTGAGGCAAGAGGTGTTTTTGGTTGTGGTTGGGTGGGTCCCAGCTTCACTTGGTCAGTTTTTAGGGCCCTTGGTGCAAACCCTGAGGCACAAGCCTGATCTCTGCTACTGTGCTCTTGTGCTGGCTGTTACTTTGCCTTCAGCTTTGTTGATCACAGCATGGAGTTACTTAGCAAGCCAAACTTCATCTTGCCCTTCTACAATTGTAGCTATTGTAAAACTTGCAAAGATGTTTCCTTTTACGATTTTCCAATCCTTTCATTCGTGGCTTTTCCCAAATCACCCAGACCTTCTTGAAAAGACAACACAAGCAGAGCCATTGAGCTTTGACTGAGGACCCACCTGGCTGCAGCACCCAGGCTGCTGTTCACACCTGCCCTGCATCACAACCTGCTGACCGGGTAATGAGCCAGCACTACAGCTTGCCTGAAAGAGCAATGCTGCTCCAGGGGTGGGTGCAGTGTGAAATCCCACTGCTCTGAGGTGAGGGCTTGGCCCTCTTGAGAGGCGACCCTGGCCTCTCAGGAGGTTGTTGGCTTTCCCCTTCTCATGGCTCCATGGAACAGCATAAATCCCAGCAGCACCACACCAGGCACCTGAATTCAAGCTTAACCACCAGACCCCAGCAACCTGTTTCCATCATCAGCCTTACTTAACAACTCCAGCTCCTCTCTCCCTTCCATACACAGAAGCTGGGTGATGTCCCAAAGTACACGTACATCCCTCATGCCAAGGACACCAAATCTGCACTCCTCTGGCTTCTGGAGCCCATTGAGCATGCATGCTGTTGTCCACACTCCTTGCTTTGGCTGTGTACTTGAAGAGCTTCCTCACTGCTCCTGTGTGCACACTCATTAAGCGTGTGCTGCTTTGCACAAGCAAGCAGAGTGAAGGAACGGGTTGTTGCGAAAGCAAAACCCAAAAACCAAAGAGTTTCATCACTTTGCTGTGCTGGCTGTTTTGGGGCCCTCACCACCGATTGCTGTTTGGATGATGCCCACCCCCTTACACTCAACAGCTCATTCCAACCTATGGTTGGTTTCTCCTGGTTTTGCTTTTTTGTTACTGCCTGGGTCAGTAGAGCCTCCCAAAGCCAGAAGAGGAAGCTGATGGCTAATGATGGCTGCAGGGTGAGGGTTGGGTCAATGAGCACATCCTTCCAGCAGCCTAGTATAGCCAGGCAGAAGCCAGGCACTCAGCCTCCTGTGCTCAGAGGGCTGGAAGCAAGGGAAGCAGAGGGCACAGGGCCCAAGGCCACCAGCCTGCAGCCACCAGCTCCTCTCCAGCCAGGAGCATAAGCTCCATCCCACATCAAAAGTCCACAGTCTCCACCTCAAAAACCCTGTGGCACTGGGGTGGGAGGCACTCAGCCCCACTCTGGTTGCTGTTCTGGTGGGTTACAAAGGGCAGGAGACACCATCAGCCTCCACTGATGAGCCACTGACTGCAGCCTTGAGGTGTCGATCACGAGGCTGTGCTGGGGATGCCCACCAGCCTCAGCTGTGTGAAGTCTCTGTTGCTCCCACCAGCAGCAGGGAGAGCCTCCATACCTGTCCCTAGGAGCAGCCATCCCATTGCATCCCCCTGTGGCCTCAGCCTCTGCACCTCCTTCACACATACTGGAGAAAATACAGTGGGGAGAGCTGCTACAGCACAGCAAGGAGCAGAGGATCCACTTCTGGCCACAGCAGGGTCATCCTTCAGTCACGCCCAAGGCCCAGCAGCCTGCCAACATGAAAAATAACCAGAGAAATAAAGCAGGAAGCAGCTCTCCCCACTACGTCATTTTAATTGCATCGACACCCAGAAAATACACAGAAGGATACGTGCCCTGAGCCACCCATCAACAAGTGGCTTCCTTCCATCATGGGTCTTACTTTCACACTTCTTTCACTCAAAAAAAAAATAATATATATATATATATTTATATATATAATAATAATTGCACCAGTTGATGTACAAACACAGCCTTCCCTTTTCACACATTCGTGGGTTCGAGGAGGGTCATGTCCTGGCCCCAGCCCGGCCAGAGCAGCACCCAGGGGAATGAATGGTTGTACAAAACAGTATGAAGATTTTCTTACAAATGTACGCCTGCACTGTTGCTTTTTTTTCTGTTTTTTTTTTTTTTTTTCTTAAGTTTCAAAACTAGGTTGTGGGTCACTAATGGCTTGTATTGTATCTTATCTACAATAAATTCAGCATATATTTTTGTTTTAGGAATGTGTAAGGCATTTGGTAAGTCGAACGGTACGTTCTAGGTCACAGACTCATCAAACTGAAGTCCCTTCCTTCGAACTGTCCTCTTCCCCCTGGAGAAGGAGAACAGAGGTGAGTTACTCAACCGGGTCCCAACTTTATTCTCACTGTAGGATAAGCAGCAAAGCATTTCCCAGATGGGCCAGATCTCCCCTTGTGGGCAGGGAGAACGTTGACCACCACCCACCACAGCCTCAGGCATTGCCCAAAGCCGGCCAGGCCAGATGGTTTCTGGCAGTAGGATCCCCACTGCATCCCATTTTAAACCACCACAGGACACACTCCTGCAACCTCCACCAGTGGCAGAGGGGATGGCCAACTGCCACAGCTGGGGTGTCTGTCCCAGTCCTGGGAACAAGTACCTTTTCATGAAGTTGTTCTTTCAACTTCTTCACCGTTTCTCTCTCTTTGGCCAGTTGGTCCTGGGTAACCTTCAGTAGCTCCTGTAGTTTGGTTGCCGCCTGGCCCAAGTCCCTTGTTAGCTTTTTTTCTTTTTCAAGTCTTTCCTAGATGGGAGTGAAAAGAACCCATATGCCTCAGCCTCCCTGCTCGCAGGGGACCCAGCAACCCCAGGGGACAGCATGGGCTGCAAACTTCAACAGAGCACAGTGACCACAAAACTGGTTGTGGTAACATGCTCGCCAGAGTTCAAGGAGCACATGGACACTGCTTTCAGATACAGGGTCTGAAATTTGGGTAGTGCTGTACAGAGCCAGGAGTTGCACTCAGTGATCCTTACAGGTCCCTTCCAACTCGGGATATCCTATGGTTCTGTGACCTCCCACTCTACGGGAATCCCAGCCTGTATACGAGCTCAGGCAGTCAGCTCAGAGCATCACCCTACCTTGGTCAGTGAGGGGCTGTGACTCATAGCCTGCTGTTCTTCAGCCCTATCAAAGCTTTCTGATTGCACAGGGGCAAGGAGAATCTTCCTTTGGGAACTATCTACCTTGCTCCACCACCCCCATTGGGGATGAATCACGCCCCAAGTACTGCCTGGATATAGCTTTGGCCGTCCTGGCTCAGCACCAAGCAAGGGACCAGGTCAGCTGCATCACCTTGAGATGCTGGGCCTCCTCCGTGTCTGAAGTTGCTGCGTTTTCAGCCAGTCTCAACTTCTCCAGCTCTGCTTGCAAGCTGCACGCTGAGCTTTGTGCCTGGAAGGGGGACACACTCATTAAACACCAGCGCACAGCCGCGGGCACCTCCTGCCCTGGCAGCCAGCACGTCCTGGCCCTGCTGTAGAGTTGGGCTATGGAGCCGCCAGCAGACGGCTGGGTGCACTGCATCCACCGGGAGGGCAGCGCTTCTTGGCCAGGAGCACGAAGAGCCCGGCCATCAGCACTCCTGGCCCAGCACCCACCTCCTCCAGCTCCCGCACCAGCTTTTGCCTCAGCTCTTGTTCCTTCTCCATCAGTGCCTCATTCTGTTCCAGCTGCATTTTCAACTGCATAGGAGAGGGGAGAAACGCGCAGAAAACAAACAAAGGGAGAGCTCATGAGGATGACGAGCCGGTGGGGAGCTGGGCCGTACCAAAGAAATAAAGCCCAGAGCTTTCCCCAGGGCACAAAAGGGCAATGGGTGAAGAAGCTGGGAGGATGGCCATGGGGAGCCTGGGCACTGCCAAAGTTTGCTTGCTTCTTGAGCAGCACAACAAGGGATGACGTATGTGGCAGATCCTCATGTGTGCCAAAGCAGTGCCCGAGAGAAGGTTCCACAGTTAACAGGATTAAAGGAGAGAGACAGAGCTCAGCGTCGCTGCCAGCAAGAGGTGTTAGCCTGCAAAGGAACAGCTGTGGATAATGCCTTCAGCCCGGCTCCAGCAAGATTTGCAGAGCCTCTGTTCCTACATAGGGTCTATAATCCTACTCCTCAGCCTCCTGCTGGAAAGGGTTCCCATGCAGCCGTGTCAGGATGTCCTCTTCTGCAGCCTGTCCTGCTTCAGAGAAGACCTTCAACATGTGGCTGAAGGGAGCGAGGCCCAGCTTCCCACAGCCTCCATTGTCAGACCCCATACACACAGGACAGGAGACAACAGCAAAGCCACGTGCAGTTTTCCATGCAGTTAGAGACAGGGGGACAGGACAAGGGACACAGTTAAGGGTCAGTGACCCTGCAGGCAGCAGTCTCACCACCCTAACCTCAAAGGGTGTGGGATCACCCAGGTCAGCTTGTGACCCCGCTACTTCTCCATCCTGCACGTGGCTCTTCATCTCACTCAGCTGCTGCCTGACCTGGAGGAAGGACCAGCAAGCTTGCCTCAGTTGCACTGTCCTGTGACAAGATCCATATGGACCTGCAGACCAGTTTTGTCAGCCCTTCTACTTGCACACAAGCTGAAATGTTGGGAAAACCATCTCAGGTTCTGCATCTAACACGGGCAGTTTGAAAGATGAATGTTTGGATTAACAAACAAACCCTGTCCAGAAGAAAGGAAAGGCTTCTGAATGAACACAAGCAAGTTCAGTGCTTACAGCCGCCTGCCCAGCTAATGAGATTAAAGCCAGTGACCATCCAGCACCAAGCTCCCCAAAAAGCAAAGGCTGCACCAGTTTGTTCAGTGAGTCAGATGATGGTGAGCTCCAAACAATGAAGCACTTCCAATATTAAAATGCAAGGCAACAAGTGCTGTCTCACAACCATAGTAATGATTTAAAAAACAAAAGCCCTCATGGTTTTGGCAGGTCTGCTGGCTCTCCTGGCCCTTTATCCCAAGCCTCTCTCCCACTTACCTGCAGAAACTCAGCCCCATCTTTTAGTCCTCTAAGCAACCTCTATGCACATGGCATACACAAGCTAATTCATCCCATCTAGGGTCCCAGGGCAGCACCTAAAACCCTACTCCAAGTGTCTGTGAGGAGTAATCAGTCTCCAGTGTGGGGAAGGCTGGGAGCACTATGTGTGCCCATGTGATGACTGTGCCTTCCTCCTGCCTCTAAACCTGCAGAGAGGAACAGGGCACCAGCAAGCAGATGAACCCTGGGTTGTGGTTTGTGAGCTGCCCTGAGGCCAGGCAGCAGTCCTGCATGCAGGCAGATGAGTCCCAGCGGTGCATCACCCCCTTACCAGGGCCAGCTCCTTGCTCTGCTTCTGCGTTTCTGTCTTTGCTGCCTCCAGCTGCTCTTGGGACTCTGATAAGAGCTGTCTCAGCTGGTGAAAAGAAACAGGAAGCAGAGGTGAGGAAGAGCATTAGAGTTTGGGCTTTTATCTCCAGCCACATCTCTGAGAGGCTGTGGCCTACCTCACAATACAGAAGTCCTGTTCTGGCCACTCCCCATCCCGTTTTGCTGCCCTCTGATCTCCCAGCCCCATTGTCAGCCCTTCTACTGGTGCCCTCAGAGAGGTAAAAAGGCAAACATGCATATGTACTTCATGTTGGAGCTCTGCAGCCCAGGGAGGCATTGTTACAATTCAACACCATCTCAGAGAAGCAGTGATAGCATCACTTGCTAATGGCTGCTCAAAGAGGCAACTGTGGGACAGCTCCACCTGACCTGAGCCACAGAAATCCCATGGGGTACTGAGATGCAGTGGGCATCTCCATATAGATCTCCATCCGCCTGCCAACTTATCCCAACACCAGATGCCCACAACCCAGACTGGAGCAAACATCTCCAGCTACGTTCTCCTCATTTGCAAACCTGCAAATTCCCCGGGGCACTCCTCAAATCCCCCCCAAAAAAGTGGAAGGGTGGTGAGTCCAACTTAGAAGAAGCAATATTTAAAGTAACATCTGCCACACTTACGCCTTCAACTTCTTTTGTGTAGTTTTGGCGTTCAGAGCTGGCTGTCTGCAAGTGATTTTCCAGTTGCGCTTCCAGGAGAGAGATGTATTCCTTTAGCTGGATTAAAAGGGAAGAATGCAGAGGGGGTTGAGGTGCCAAACACCCTGGACCCATCCCATGCTGCAGCCCACCTTCCCCAGGGTAGATCAGGAGATGGGCTCCCATTCAGCGCAAGCACAGCAGCCGTCTGCCCAGTGCCTGTGCCAGGAACACAGAAAGCCAAAAACCTTACCTGGTCAGTGCTCTGCAGCTCTGTTTTCAACTTCTCTATCATGTCTTCAAGGGATTTCAACTGGAGTTGTGACTAAGCCAAGAGAAAGAAAAAATCATCAGTAGAAGGCATTCCCAGATTTATTTTTGAGAGAAGGACATCACGGTTGCTGAATTATTTGAACAGAAGAATTCCCCTGTTCTCCACAGAGAGGCAGAGCTGCTCAGAGCCTGCCCCAGCTGCCACGTCCATCCCAACACACACACACCAGCAGCCACGTCATCCCCATGCAGCACAGCTGCCGCCCTCAGTGCCAGACATCCAGCAGTGGAATTAGAGATCTCCTGTACAAGAGCTCTCCCACCTCTCTGCAGCCCCTTAAGAACCTACAGGATGGGGAGCAACCAGACCATGGGAAATAGCTTTATTTCAGTTCTGCATTCAAGAGGATAGTGAAGTCAGAGATAACTGAAGTCAGAAGAGGTGTGACCAGCTAAGCCCTCCCAGACCCCAGCTAAGTCACAGGAGTTCAGGACACATGCTTTCCCCCAGACAGTTGGAGAGCACTGGCTCTTCAGCAGCAGCCAGCTGGCTTTGTAGCCAGTGAGAGAGGTACCCAAAGCTAGACAGACAGCTGGACCAGAAACTATTCACAGTACGTGGCTTGGACCTCAGCTCCTTTCTGAAACTTCAACCAAAGCCAAACTCAACCTAGATACCAAGAGCAAGCCAAGTCCCTGAAAATAGGAGTCCAAGAGCACGGCACGTGCCCTGACTCAGCCAAGCCAGCACCCACCAGGAGGGCTGAGTCTGACTTCCAAGCTCCAGAGCTGAAATTACTGAAGCAGTAACGTAGTTTCCCAATGATCATGCCTGTACCAGAGAGCTGCAACCCATTCCTCCAGTATACAGTGGGCAGGAAGGCGGGAGTAAGAAGGGTTTAAGTGAGCTTCGTGTCTGTTAATTTTGTGACAAGAGGTAGAAGAGAAAGGTCTCATGCCTCAGAGACCAAAGCTGGCAGGAACAGATAGGGTCACCATCCAGTCTGCAGCTAACAGCCTCTCTGCTCCACAAGCAACACACTCGGATGTCCCAAAGCACGCACCTTTTGGAGTTCCTCTCCAGAGACAGTGAGCTTTGCTTTCCACACCTGCTCTTCCTCCTCCACACTCTTCTGCAGGTTTCGCAGCATTCCTTCCTATTGGAAAAGCCACAGCTGAGCCCAAGCCTCCTGCAGCCCTCCCAAATGGAGCACCATGGCAGCCACCAGGGCTGGGTGCCATGGAACATCCATCTCTTCTCAAAAGATTTGAGCCGCTGCAATTTGGGGCAATGCATCGGCAACAAAACCAGGTGCCCCAGGTGGGGCTGGGGACACCCAATTCCCAAGCTGCCTTAACCCCTTTGCTTAACAGCGCCCTTGCACGTGCCACTGTGTCTCAAGCAACATCCAGAAAGGCTTCCAACTTGATTAGAATGGATACAATTCAGGCCTGTCCACTTCCCCTGTCTCACTGGGGAATAATCATCTCCATGGCAGCGCCAGCATACTGTGCAAAGCCCACCAGCAGCCCATGATCTGCTGGGAAACTGAGCTGTATTTCTAGCAGAAGACCAACATATTACAAGGAGCTGTAACTTACTGTCTCTGCAAGGATAGCTCTGTACTGCTCACATTCTGCTTGTAAAGTGCTCTGCGCTTCCTCTGCCTCTTTCAGTTTAAGTGCTGAATCCTGAAAAGGGAGGTGGAGAAAGAGAAATGAGAAAAAGAAAAAAGCGACTTAAGCACTCACTTGCCCCTCTACTTCCCAGCCCCCTCACTTACCACAGGCTCTGTTGTAATTGTGTGTTGCTTTAGCACGTCCACAGCCTTCTCCTTAAACTCTTGTAGCCATGCCTCATAATCCTGAGTTTGAAAAACAGGACGAGGAGGGGAAAAGAAAAAAAAACGTTTAGATGCCTGTCATTCCTACATGGCAGAGACTCTGTAAGGGGGCTGGAATGATAGGAACCCACCTGTTGTGACACAGTGACTTCTGGGAGCGCAGAGAGCAGAGTCTCTTTGGTTCGTGTCTGGAGCACATCAAGCTGGTGGGCCAACTCCTCCTGCAGGAGGAACACAGAGGCATGGGGTGGAGGACTCGGGTGCTTGTGGGCCAGGCTGGCAGCACCAGCCTTGCTTTTCTGTGCCTACACAGGTAAGCTGGCATGGGAAAACCAGCAAGCAGAGAACACGGCCTCAGAGAATCACTAATACATCCCTCCCCCTCCATCCACAGTCCTGGTTACCCAGTGGCAATCTGTAGTGGATGCACAGGCCTCAGGACAAGACCTGAGGAAGCTGGCGAGAAAGTTAAACCAGCACTGCTCCTAAGACAAGGCAGGCAGCCCAGAGCAAACAACTGGTGGCTCTGGGGAGGCTGAACGCTTCCCCTACAACACTGGCACCATTACTGAAGAGAAATACCGGGCTCACCTTTGCTTTTGTAGCAGCAAGTAGCTTTTCCTCGCATGCCTTCTCCAGCGCGGTCAATGCTTCCACTGCTTTCCAGTTCTTCTCACGAAGGTCCTGCCGAGACCACACACACAAGGCTTATTGCCACACACCACGCTGAAGGCCGCCAAGCTGCTTGTTGGCACTGCGGAGGATTTCAAAGCCTCCGTTCAGGAAAACGGGCAGCCCGCCACTTTTGCCGAGGATCCCCCATCCCACCACCCACATGCACTCCCTTCTCCTCCGTCCCTGCAGCTGCCCAAAGCACCAGGCTCAAATCCTCCTGCAGGAACAAAACAGAGCAGGATGGAGACCAACTCCAAAAGCAGCCGTCGGAGCTGCCTGAAGAGGACACAAGCCTAGCGGAAGGCTGCAGTGTTGCCTCCAAATAACTCATGCAGCCTTGCAGTAGAGGGAAAAGGAGCAGGTAGGCAATGAGGAACTGCCCTGACCCTGCTGGACAGCATTTCTCTGCTTTATAGGTTCTGAGCCCAGGAGGACAGAGGAGGGACACCTCCAACCATGGAGCCCATCAGCTGAAGCACTCAAGTCATGCACCCTGCCAGGGCTCTCCCAATCTCTGGCAGACAAAGTGATACCCCACTGCTCCATGGGGCTGAAAGAGCCCATGGTGCCCAGAGAGCAACTGTTAACATTCTGACCCCAAAGATTTGGGTTTTAGAGGAAAAAGAATCTGAGCAGCAATAGTTGAGCCCAGTTCATTCCACATACGTTGTTTTTTATCTTCTGTTGCTCCATCGCCTCTCGCAGCTCTGCTGCTTCCCTTTCCAAGGACGAGAGCTGGTCTGTTTTCTCCTGGAGCCTGGAATGGTACGATGAATTGCATGATGCAGGAGTGAAATTCCATCTCCACCTTCCATCCCAGGCAGTGAGCTCTGAGTATGGGACCACAGCCCTATTTGGGATCTGCTCTTGGATTCACAAGCAGTGGGAAGCTGAACTTGGATGGAGAGATAAAGGGAGCAGACTGCACTCGCTGGGATTAAAACCAGGAAATGAAAGACCATGGCAATGCTGGAGTGGGATCCAGTTTTCTTAACAGCAATAATAAGCAAGTAGTTGTCTGGCTGCACATCTAGAACAAGTCAACAACTTGAGCCAAAGGCCACAAGCTCTGGATCATACAACTGGAACCACACCCAGCACGCTTTCATTCAGGGCTCATTAGGCTGAGACAGCCCACAGCTCCACATTTTGAAGGCATCATCCTACTATCTCCAGTAACCACACATCAGCACCACCAACTAAACATCTCACAGCCCGTAGCTTCCCTCCACAGCCTCAGGCCCATCATCTGCCCCAAAAGAATTCTCATCTTGAGCAGAACAAGGGAGATTTAAGTCCCTGACACAAATCACTCAAATATCTTGGGGTCCCAGGACCTCAGATTGATCAGGTGCCCTCCTTTAGGGGAACTCTGGGTGCTTGCTCTCAGCAAGGGCACCTCAGAATTCCTTCTGCCACAGAGCCTGACCCTTCTCGGAGGTGCCCAGCACATGGGTGAGAGACAGCAGCCACAACTTGTGGTGTGGGAAACTCCAATCAGATGCCATGAAATCTTTTTTCTCTGATGCAAGTAGATGTCAAACAGAAGAACAGGGACCCAGAGAGGTGGTGAATCTCCATCCCTCAAGACACCCCAAACTCACCTGAAATAGTCCCCAAATCCTTGATCTGGATAACCCAGCTTTGAGCACAGGCTTTAATTAGAAACATTGCAGGTCCTCATCCACTTTCAGCCCCAACAACTTCCCCAGCCAGTTGTACATGAACAGTTAGCCTTCACGTGCCAGGCAGCAATTAAACTGTCACTTCAGAATGGATTGGCTGTTATTTGGGGCCAGCAGGCCAGCACTGGAACCAATTAATACCTTAAACAGCTGCACTGACCAGGATTCACCTCATCTTCCTGGCTTCACAGTCCCCCTAGGCTGTCTAACAGGGAGAGCAGGAAGTACTGATCCACACAGCTCAGCACTGGGCAAAGTCTGGGATGCACTGACAGCAAGTTGGAAGAAGCAGCAGTTTGTATATGCTAGAAAGCACCCAGACATACCTTAGCTGCAGCTGCTTCATTTCTGCTTCATTGGCTGCCTAGAAACAGAGAAATCACTTTCATTATCTTCCTACACAAGTGATGCAGATCAGCCATTTCAGTGGTACCCCAGGGAAGATCTGCTAGCAGATAACACAGATACTAATATCACAGTGCAAAAACACCTGGTTGGGCCTGGTGCTAAGAGCTGAACCACCCACTTCCAGCTGGGCACAGTCAGATCCCTTCCACATCTGTCACAAAGCAATGCAACCCCCTTTCCTCCTCTCACCCAAATTAAAAATGCACAGGACCTGCAGGTCTCTGTCTTTTTCTGCCTCCCTCATCTGGCCTGCTTCCAGCAGAGCTTCGATGGATTTGATTCTCTCCAGAAGCCTCGTGTTCTCTGAGCTGGCATCCTGCAGTTTCCCCTTCAAGCTGTCCAGCTCCAGCAATTTGCTTTTGACCTCTGTTTCAGAGCTCAGCAGCTTGGTCTGCAGTTCTGCCAGAGGAAGGGGAGAGAAATACACTAAGGTAGTGCAACAGACTTAGAGACTCCCCATCCTGCCCTGCCCTAGCACAACCCTTGGCCAAAGAAGTCTTGGCCATGGATGCCTTCCAAGGGCACAGAATAGGCAGGAAGGGATGTGAGACAGCACAAGCTGACACAGGACAGAGGCACTGCAGTGGCAACCCAGGAGAGGATCACAGCCTCTTCCTGCAGCACCAGCCATGTACCAGCCCCTTGTCTTGCTTGTATTGATGCTAGAAAGCCAAACTCATCCCCAGGTCTACCCATCCTGCCCTCAACAGCCCCATCCAACACTCAGCCTCAAAAGCTCAAAATCTGCTGCTTTCCAGCTGCCCCACAGCTATCCCTGTGCTTCATCATCCTCACCAGCAATGCTTTGCTGCTGCCCTTTGGCCTTTTCTGCATCTGCTACCAGGCTCCTGTAGCTGCTCTGGGTTTTGCGAAGCTCGTCGCTTACTTCATCCAATCTCTTCTGGAGTGTCACCTCCACTTCTCTGTGTGTAGCCTGCGTGGCAGAAAAAGAAGGCTTTAAAGAGCATACCAGGCACCTTGGCCATCATGCTAACATCCCCCCCAGTCTGCAAGGGAGCTAAGTGCTGAAAACCCTCTGAAAGCCCCAGTCATGGCCCTGCATGTGGCAGGGGGGTTGGAGATTCATGATCCTCGAGGTCTCTTCCAATCCTGGCCATTCTGTCATAGAAGCATAGAGTCATTAAGATTGAAAAAGACCACTAAGATAAGATCATCATGTCCAACCATCAACCCATCCCCACCACTATCCACATCACTCAGTGCCACATCTCCATGGTTCTTGAGCCCCCCTCGGGGACACTGACTCCACCACCTCCCTGGGCAGCCTGTGCCACTGCCTCGCCACTCTTCTGAGAAGCAATGTTTCCTAATACCTAACCCAAAAGCATTGTTACACAGTGCACTGCAGGAAGCCTCCCCTTTGCACAGCCCCAGTCGATGCTCAGAGCCCAAACACCCCACGCTCAGCAGCACACACTGATGTCTCTGAACTTCTCTGCTGCAGGTTTACTCTGGCAGGCACTGCACAGCTCTATTTACTGACCACACTCACAGCTGCCGCCGTGCGGTGGGGGGGGAGATGAGGAGAATGCCCTGCCAACAGCACACAGGATATCACAGGAGCTCCTTACACCAAGGAGGTCATCCTCAACATTTTTAGCTCCCAGAAAGCAGATGCCATGCAGGCAGCTGATGCCTCAGCCCAGCATGTAGAGGTCTGACACTGCCATCAGAGAGACTCAGACGCCCAGCCACGTGTTTCCACAAGCAGTGGAATTTTTCATGTGGTTTGGGCCAGAGAAGACTTTTTTTTCCATCTTAGAAAGCAGCAGAGGAGAGGCCAAGATGTGTGCTTAGAGGGGGAAGGCAGAAAGAGGAGCAAGGAGTATGAGGCACGTGCTAAAAATCAGCAGCTCCACACATCACACCACTGCAATGCTTTGTGTGGAAAGGACAGGAAAAGGCAACCAGCAGCCCAGAGCTTGTGTGCATGATGCTTCCAGAACTGCTCTGAGCTTTGAGGCCCTGCAGTTAGTATGATGGCTTATGCGACCAGTATAAAGGCATGCAACAAGCTGACAGCCTTTGAGAAGTTCTCCTAAAAGTGTGCCTAGAAGTTGGTGCTTTAAGGCAGCTTCTGCCCTCACACTAGTACTGTGCTTTCATCACCAACCAGGCTCCCTGCTGTCTCTGTTGCTTGACTGCAAAAGCAATAGGGGCTCAAAAATGGTCCATTGAAAGGAGGACTGCACCCTCAGGCATGCAGAAAATGAAGAGGTAGAACACTGAGTGCCTACACTGCTCCCAGATCCTGGCTTAGCCAAGCCCCAGCACAAGCACTGTCCTACCAGAAGATGCTTCCCCCTGCTCGCTGGCAACACACTGCTACCACAGCCTGCCCCGAGTCTGTACTTGGGAGGTGGCCTTTGAGCACCCAAAGAAACAAACAACCCAGCCACACCCTGGTGACAACAAAAAAGCCACAGTTCTATCTCCTGTGCTAGCATTAACAGGCCTGAAAACAGAGCTGCGGGTTCACTCTCTCGCTCTCTCATCTGCACAAGCACAGACACAAGCTGGGGCAGGCCAGCGGGTTTCCCATCACATCTCGGGGGGTTTCTACAGAACAGAAAGGAACACTGCTGCAGAAAAAGCCCTCCTTCTCCCAGGTGCTCCTCTCCCTCCTGCCACCAGAGCTCGAACCACCACCAGGAGGTGGTGCCTGCCCATGTCTGGTTCCGCAGGACCAGGAGGCAAGGCCAGATGCTCCCTGCCCATTCAGCACCAAGTACACCCAGCAGCACATATAGTCTGGGTTTCCCCAACACCTTCACACCAGCCCCACAGATGTGTGACAAGAATGGTTTTAACTAAGTCTCATGCTGCCTGGGCTTTGCTGGTGATGCTACAAGAAAGCCACAATGCATGTGACAAACTAACACAGGGGAGACTATGAAGAGATCTGCAAAGCAGTTTGCTTTCCAGCTGTGGATAGTCATCTCTCCACAAGCTCCTTTGATGTCCCCACATCCCATGAAATTCAGTTACTCTTAATGATATCTGAGCCACTTAGCCCCTAACCAACCCGGAGAGAGACAATGTTACTGAGTAGGGTAAGGTATGTGCATGCATGTGGGCGAAGAGCATGTCTGCACACCCCCAGCAGCATGCACATAGCCTTGTCTCCCAACAGCTAACTTCAGTTTCTTATAGCCAGTGTCCCTCACAATCACCCTCCCTGCAGAAAGGGGGGTGAGAAGTCAATGTCTGACATGAGCACTTTCCCTTTTGAAGGCTGGCACAGGGAAAGAGCTGTCTGTATGTATATGACACTTTGCTCTAAGCAGCTGCCCATTTCCACTGGAAAAAAAAAAAAAAGAAAAAAGACCTAAGGTCACAAACCCAGAACACTGCAGGACTTGGCTCTCGCAGCAAATCCTCTCTCTCTGTCCAACCCTCTACAGTTTGCAGAGAGAATGACCAGAAACACATGGAGATTAAGCAACTCAGACAAGATCAGAGGGAAAACATTTGGCAAAGCCCCACACTCCTGGTTAGCCCAAGCCAGCTGTCCCCCAGCCCAGGCTGGAGCTGCAGCTAGCACAGACCCTCCTGCAGGGCACCAAGCCCAAGCTGGTGGAGCAGGCTGGCAGCGCCTGCCTGACCTGTAGCTGCTCGATCTGCTTCTCTGACGCTGCTGCTTTGATCTCCCAGCTCTTTTTCTGCTGCTCCTCTTGCTGTAGCACCTCTGATTTTTCAGACAGCTCTTTCATCAGCTTGTTGCATTCTTGCCGTAACTTGGCCAGCTCAGCATTTTGCCTGGAAAAAGCAGGGTTCTCTTAGCCTGCAGGACAGTCAAGTATCCTTGGTGTTACTTACAGAGGAATACAACCGCTTGTGGGCCTGATATAGGACTCGAAGCATTTTAGTGGTTGCATTTTCCTATTTCTAGGGCCCGCCTGGTTCTTCAGGGAGGGGGTGGAAAGTTGACAAATCACTTTTTAAAAGCCGTATTTCAATCACAGGAGACATTCCTTTCTTATGAAGTAGAAGACATGAGGATCTGTATTCCCAGACACAAGAGGAAGTTCTCTAAGCATCTGGAGTCGAGTCTGTAATTATTTTACTGCTGTTAATCACCAGCTATTTCACATTTTCTATAAAAAGGAGTGTGAAATTCTTCTATCTAGCTCATATTTGTTCTACAGGCATCAGGCACGTCTCAGCTCCCTAAAACCGTCACCCGTTTCAAAGAGCCAGCTGAATTTCTTCTTGGGTCAGGATGTATGAGCTCACCTAAGCAGGGAAGGGCTCCAGCGCCTCCTGCTCCCTCCTCCCTCCTGCTGCCTGCTGGCTGAAGCAGCAGCACAGGTAGCCCTGGGCTCACAGCAGAGGGGGTTTCCCCTGTCCTCCCACAGTATCACAAGCCACAGCATGGGAAAGACATCTTCATTTCCTGCCTGACCCCAAAAGCCATTTGCAAACACTTCCTCACTCCCACTCCTACCTCTAGCCAGCAATAGGCTTTGCAGGGAGAGGTCCCTTCACTAAGTGAGAAAGGCCAAGCCCAAAGGAGAGCTAATCCCTGCTGCCCAAAGGCAGTCTTAGCCTCTGCCCCCACCCCAGCCACAGGCTTACTTGCTCTCCGTCTGGCTGGTGGCCTGGTTGAGCGCATCCCTCAGGATGGAGTTCTCCTGCTGCAGGCGAGCGAGCTGTGTGTTGGGGCCATTCTCCAGCTGTTCCTGCAGGGCCCGAATCTAGAGCAGCCCAACAGAGGTTATACTGCTTTATGGAGTGCATGCAATATCCCGGTTCAGCCTGGGACATACACACGAAGGATGTGCCACAGAGCTTTGCCCCTTCATCAGTCTACAGACACCAACAGCCCCCAGAACACGAGGTCTCATTAAGATGCTCCCATACACTCACTCCCCCTTGAGCAACACGGTTCATTAAAGCCCACATTGAAGAACTGAACATCAGAGTCACTCCCACCTCCTCAAGCGTCAGATCTCTCCTTGCACCACTCTGCATCTCCATGAACCCCAGAAAAATCATTAGGCAGCAAGAAGAGGACATCCAGTAGCCTACCTTTCCCTGGAGCTGCTGCGTTTCATTAACATGGTCCTGGTAGCTCGCCTGCATCCGTGCCTGGACAGCAGTGATCTCCCGCTCGCGGGTGACCAGCTGTTCCTTCAGCTTGTTCTCACTGGCTGCTGCCTTGGCCCTCTCAGCTGCCAGTTCCTGCATGGAGAGAAGCCGCCTGCTTAGTACTTGAGGCTCCCGTTTCCTCCTTACAAGGGAGCACAACACTTGGCTGCCTAATTCAGAAGTTCAGCCATTTCAGGGCTACCAGCTACCCGGGCACCCCTACACCAAGGCAGCACAGCCCAGCTAAGTCATTCAGCACTTACATTTCTACCCGCATCTTCTTTTGGGCTCTGTGGCCACTGGATGCCACTGTTGTTCCACAGTGGGCCAGCTGTGAGAAAGTAGTAAAACCATGGATTTTTTCTCCTGCTCGTCAGACAAAATTTGGGCACAAAGCAGGAAAAAAAAAAAATAAGAGCACCCACCACCCCTTGCAGAAGCAGAATTAGTGCTCAATCCAGCAGTTGGAGACCCTGGGTGCAACTAGACGATCTTTAAGGTCCCCTCCAACCCAAGCCATTCTGTGATTCTATGACTACTGCTGGGTGGCTGGGCTATGTTGTATGGGCTGTGTGGGACAGTGACACAACTGTGCTGGATGGCTTTGCCGTTTCCTCTCCCTGCCGCATAGTCCTGCCGGTAGCAAGGCAGAGGCAAATGGACAAAGACTGTGGCCATCTCAAAGGGATGAGATGTGGGGACTAAGAGGCTCACAGCCTGGATGCTTTGTCAAAGTCGTGATGCTGGGCAGGCTGCACAGTGCTGACCTTGTTCAACTCCCGCAGCTTGTTTCTGGCAGCAGCTGCATCCTCCTGTTCAGCACTGAGCTGCTTCTCCTTCTCTTCCAGCTGGCGCTTCAGGACAGCGACTGGGTCACCCTTCTGCGTGGCCTGCAAAGTGAGGTGGCACATGAGTGGGGACCACCATCTCCAAACCCACTCTCTTGCTCCACAGGCAGAAGCCATCCAAAGTGCTTTGACAGGACTTCCATTGAAGCTTCAGCCTCCAGAACTGAATCGTGGGGTCAATAGGACCCCGAGCCCACCCAAAGACTTGGAGCTTTCCCTGCAGCGGCTTGACAGAGGCAGAAGCAGCAGCAGTGGGTGGCCATGAGGGTGCCCACAGCCCTACCGTGTGCCAGGTGTCCTGCACGATGCCCGCTCTCTCTGTCAGGATCTCAATGAGCTGCTGAGCCTCCCCCTCACTGAATGCCATGCTGCTGATGGTGGACACCAGTGTCTTGTAGGGCAGGTAGAGGGGCCCATCTGAGTCAGCAGGTGCTAGGGAGAAAAAAGGGGGAACTGAGTCCACTTTAGGATGATGGCAGAGCATCCAAATCCGTCAGCAAGTTTCAACCCCAAAACTGATGTTTAAAATTAGCAACCAGCCCAATGTGTGCAGTCCAGAAGTATCTCCTGACCTCAACCACTTTGAGATTCTAGGATTCCCTACTGCTCTGCTAACATGAAGGGCTTGGAGTCCCTGGAGCTGGGCAAGGAGTGGGCATCAAGGTCACCCACTCCAGCAGAACCCCTGCTGGGGACACAAGGGCCTCTGCCAGGCTGTCCGGGGCCGGTTCCACTACAGGGCCCAACTGGGCCCAGCAGCCACAATGGTGGCAGCACCTCATAGAAAACACATTTAAGAAGGGGTAAAACACTGCACTGCTCAGGAGCCAGGCTCACATTTCACTCATACGGATGCAGGACAGCACATCATCTCCCTCAACCTGGTCCTGTTGGGTGGAGCATCAGCAAAATGTCACCCATCTCCGGCCAGCATTGCGCAAGCAATCTTTGCACAAGGAGGGCATGACACAAACACCACCTCACAGCTGGCAAATGGGCCTGGGCCAACCTGCCAAACCACAGCATAGCACAGCAGCCTGCTTCAGCCCAGCTCTGCTCTGCAAAGGGAAGCCTACACCATGCCGAGACGATTCACCAATTGATTTTGAGGTGGAAATGCCTCCACCTCATGCCTCACGCCCTCACACAGCATTGCCCTGGCAGAGCTGCTAAGGGGAAGCACAGCGAGGTTTGAGCCGCTTCTCAAACCCAAGGAAACATGTGGCACTGCAGACACAGATCATTCCTTGCCTGGAGCCCCAGGAACAGAGCTCACTCAGCACTACCACATCAGGTACCCTCACGTGTGTCAAGGGGAGCAGCTCCTACTACCAAAGCTCATTACCTGGGATCCACGTACATATCAACCACTTGTAAACAAGCTTTCCTGCAATGCAGGAGGCTGAAAAAAAAGCCACACAAGAGAAAAATACCTCAATCCCCTTCTGTCAGGTTTGGCATTTGTTTCAGTGCCAAGGACATGTCTTTGAACATCTCAGTTTTTATCTGCAACAGGATAATTTATTACTTCTGCCTCCAATAAAGTGAGAGACCACAGCAGGTACCAAAAGGCTGTCAATAATGCTTTGGTCCAGCTACAGACAATGTCGTGGCACAAACACTGACAAAAGCTCTCCTTTGGAAGCACCTAAGACATCAGTCCTGGCTTTTAAGACATGCAGGATCTGTACTTCACACTCAAAGGCACAGATGATCAGAGCAACCCAAAAACTATCTAAGTGAATAAGTGATAAGAGCTCATCTCCAATCAGCGTTGCCTCAGCCTATAAGAATCATTTACCCAAATAGCAACATCAAAAAAAAAAAAAAAAAAAAAAAAAGCAAACCTTTCAAATTGGTGCAAAGATTAGCAGGAATCCAGCTACAGAACTGTGCCTACACCTATTTACACCCCAGTGAATACGGGAGCTCCTTATCCTTGTTTTCCACCCTGCTGACCAGCACCCTGGCTGCCGCTCCTATCCCAGAAGTACCTGGAGCTCCCATTCATTCCTGGTATACAAAACTGCTAAGAGATCCCCAATACAACAATGAATCCTATGAATCCTAGAGGAACCTATAGCTTGTTAATGCCTGTGTGCTGAGCTAAGGAGATAAGCACCACGCAGGACACCCAAAAGCAGGAGGCAACACATTACAGACTGAAAATAAATCAGTAAGTTGTTAACTTCAATTCTCCTTCTCCTAGAGAGAATGGCAGTCCAGAACAAGTTCCTCCCAACCAACCTCAACACACACCATCCATCTCACCAGATGCAGCCATTTTACAGTTACCCTGTTACCAACTGGGAAGAAAAAGAAATTAAAAGTCTCAGAACAGGACAGCTCTGTTTTAGCAGTACTAAGATGCTGTGTTTGCTTACCCAGTGGGAATACATGCAGAGGAATTTGGCCCTACCTGGTTCAGCCTTCTTCTTGGATGCAGCCTTCTTCTTGACTGGCCCATCATGCTTCTGCTCCTCATGGGTTGGAAGAGCCTCAGGTTTTTTGATGGGGATGGAGCTGACAACCGGAGCACTTTGCTGCGTGCCAACTGGTGGCACAGCCACAACAGGTACCTCCTTAGGGGTCACCTCCAAGACAGGAGAGCTTTTGGGAACACTGGCAGGAGGAGACGCTAGTGCTGGGCTAGGAGCAGGTTCTACCTTTGCCACCTTCTTCTCTTTCTTCCTCTTTTCCTTAGGAGATGGAGCAGGTTTCTCCTTTTCCTGGGGGGGCACTGACACCGCTGGGATTGGAGATTCAACTGTTACAGGCTTTGGCACCACAGCAGGCTGAAGAACCACATCCTTGGAAGAGTCAGTCACTTCCTCAGTAACTTGCTGCTCCGGTATCTTTCCATTAGGTTTTTCTTCCTTTTTCTTTGCTTTTCCTTTTTTCTCAACAGGTTTTTCCTTCTTCTTTTTCTCTGTTTTGTGCTGGTTGGTCTTCTCAAGCTCCTTACGTTGCTTTGCCAAGGCTTCTTCATAAGAAGTCTCCTTCATTGAGAAGGTGGACACCAGGAAGATCCCAATGGCTGATATCACCATAAAGCCTCCAAAGACCACAACACCCAACGTCTGAGGATCGTACACATCCATCCTGCCTTATTCTTCTGTGCCTGCAAGACATCAGAGCAACAGTGAGGGGAAAACCAAAAAAACGCAATCACTTCTGCAAGGGAATTAAAAGAATTATTTGTGTTTCCAAATACCACCGTGCACTGAAGACTCATGAAGAATCATGCTCATGATTCACACACATCTGGGGAGGGCTACCAAGCTGCAGATCATTATGCTTGTGCTCCTCCACTACGTTGTCTATTCACAGTGATCCAGTTATACTGCTGCAACTAATTTCACTGGTAGCAATCTCCAGAAGAACAAAAAAGTTGGAAAGAGAAGAAGAGGGATGCAATCACAGGCACTAGCAACCACCTGTTGCATGCCATCTGAGATGGCTTTAGCATGACTGTAGGGCGATACCTGTGGCACTTCTAACAAACAGGATGAAAGCATGTACAGGGCAGCTTTCCTTATTTGCTTCCAAATGCAGAAACAGCCATCCTGCAACAGCTCCTGCAGCATGGACGTGCCGTGATCACACTCTGCCAGATCGCTGCTCTTGGGGAGAAAACCCAGCACCGAGGCTGTGCGCACGTACGCCATGTAGAGAACCAAGTTCCAACCATTTCCTTGAAATGCAAATAGCAATAAAAGTCAGAAGCTCATGCTAAAAAAAAAAAAAAAATTAAAAAAAAAAAAAAAAGAGTCACAGTCATAAATTATCTCATCTCCCCAACAGACGCCAGCAGGAAGAAGTGAGTGAGACTTGTGAGTGGAGGGAGCTCTGGATGTGGCACTTCTCCTTCCACCTCTGCTATCAGCTGGCAGGCAAGAGGGGCTCAGTTTGTCCACTCAAACACCACGATCAGCATTGGATGCTGAGACTGGACAGGCAGAGAGCAGCTACTGCAAGGTGCTGCCATCTCCACTCTGCTGAATTCCTAATCAAACCTTGTCCCAAACTCCTAAGACCATCATTTCCCCACCGTCCCATTCAGGTTCTTCCTATCAGGGCACAACCTCCACGTGGCCCTAAGCTGGCTCATTAACCCCGAATGGGATACTGAATTGGGCCATTCATCTGCAAAGGAGTGCTTTCCAGGACATGCCAAAATGTGGTTTCTGACCATCCTGTCTCAAAGTATAATCAGAAAAATGCAGAACGCCCCCAGTTATCAGGAGTTCCCAACCCCACACTTAACTGTAAACATTATCAAATTTCCTCTGTATAATGGGTTGTGGGTTGAGGAGGAGGGAGGGAAGGAGGTGCTGGGGGGGGGGAGGAGGCAAAAAGAAGAATAAAGCTAAGGAGATCAGCATCTTTGCAAAACCTCAGTGCCTGAAGGCAGAGACCTGGGAGGCTCTTCCTTTCCAACAGCTGGAGCAGGGAACTCACAGCCCTGTCTGAAGTGAACAGGAGGCTCTGTGCCAGCTGGACCCAGCCACCCTGCACTGAACAGGCACTGCCCGAGCTCCCAGAGGATAACACAGACCCTGCCCCAGTGTGCTAGGTGTCTTTGCTGCAGGGAGAGTGCTTTGGGATCTTCTCCACCAGGATGGGCAGCCTCATAGAATGGCACAGGTAGGAGGGGACCTTGAAGATCATCCAGTTCCACAGGAAAGACTGTTTCCCACCAGCTCAGGTTGCCCAGGGTCCCATCCAACCTGGCTTTGAGTGTCACCAGGGACGGGATACCACAGCTTCTCTGGGCAACGTGTTCCAATACACTGGGGAAAAGGGAGGACTTCCCCACAGTAAATAGAAAGTAAGGCTGAAGAACACATATCCATGATCTAATGCTGGTTTTAGAGTTACACCAAAGCATCCATCAGCTGTCAGAAGACGGAACAAAGTGACCTATGTTGGTAAGAATAAACCCTCCTCAAGCCCATACTATCACATATACACGTTTAGAGCAAATTTGGTGCTCCAGCTTAGGGAAGGCTTACTGCCAACTCCTGGCAACCACCACCCAACCCCACCAGCTGCTGTCACCACATCCAAAAGCAGCTGCGTGGAGCCAAGGAGGGAAAAAGAAGAAACAGTGCAAACCCCAGTCTGGCACCAGAACACCTTTCCAGAGCCTGGCCAAAACCTCACACCCAAGATGACGCAGGTCCTGGCAGCCACAGTCTGCACTTGGGTCGTCCCACCGGCTGTGCCCACAGCAGTCCCCTATACCTGTCCTTACACACAGAGCAGAGGAGAGGGGCACACTGTTTTCTCCTGCAAGGGCCTTTTACAGCCCACTGCCCACAGTGCGGTGCACAGACACGACCAGCCTTCCACATTCAAAAAACAGAGCTCACATTCCAAAAACCCACATGAATCCACATTTTAACTCTTCAGCGTGCCTTTTGCTCGCTAACCAAACTTCCCCAAATCTCAGATAACAGCCCAGGAAACCCTCCTCACACAGCCACTCCTGTTTATCCCGAGCATTAGTCCATGGAAGCAGAGCTGGGAACACTTGGCCCTGCTAGATGTAAGCACAGAGCAGTGCACAGCCCCATCATCACACACACGGAGCTCAGCAGGTCACACAGGAGCCACAGAGATCTCATTTCCCCACGCAGTCAAAGGAGAACGCGTTGGCTGCCCTGCCCTGGCAGAGCGCAGCAGACAGGGAAAGATGCTCCCTGCAGCTCCCGCGCTGCCACCCAAGGGCTGTGCTTGGCTGTAGCACCGCAGCAGCACCTCCCGCTGGAGTCAGGAGGTGCAGAGGTGCGTGGGGCCGCAGGGCAGCGAGCCGGGCTCCGTGCAGCCCGCAGAGCGGTCCTCTCCCTCTGCCTTCCCCCAGCAGCTGCCCGGCCCAGCACACGAGACTCCGAGCTGAGATTTCAGCTTCTTCCCAAGCACGAAACCGCCAGCAGCTCCTGAAGTTTCTCCCCGCACCCCGCTGCAACAGGAGGAGGACATCCCGAGGTCTTTTTTTCTAGCGCGATGAACGGAAAAAGCACGATCGTCTCATAGCCGTGACCTTCCGTAACCGCGGGTAATCAGCTTACGGGATCCCATCGAGCTGCGGGTACAGGAATGCGGCCGGGACAGCCGGGGCCGCGGCAGGGAGCCCCGGGGGTGTCCGGGGAGCGCAGGAGGGGTCGGTCGGGGGAGGAAGAGGCGGCGTAGCCGCGTCCATCATCCGGCGGTGCGGGCCCCTCCCCGGCCGCCTGCACACGTCGCCATTCCGCACCGCCCTGCACGCCGCGGGCCATTCATCCCGGCCGGACACCCCCCCGGGGGGACGGAGAGGCACGGACCGGGACCCCTCGCAGCGGGACCCCCCAGCACGTGGAGGCGTGGAGAGGGCCCCTCGGAGCGCTGACAGCCGGCCGGGGGCTGCCGAGCCCGGAGCGGGGTCCCCCGGCAGCGCCGCGGGGGAGTGCGGGAATTCCTCTCGCCGCGCCCCGGGGACCCCGCCGGCAGCCGGGGGTGCGTGCAGTGAGGGGGTCCCCGGCAGAGCCCCCGCGGCTCCGAGCGAAGCGGCGCCCCCCGCCCGACCCGGCCCCGCCGCCGCCTACCCGTCCGGGTCGCTCCCCGCTCGCCGCGCGCCCGTCTGGAGTCGTGGCACTTTCTGCCGCTCGCTCGCCGGGCGCGCCGGGCCCGCCCCGCTCCGCACCGCGGGGCCACTCAGAGCGGGGGGCGGGCCGGGCGCGCCGCCTCCTGGGGGCTGTAGGCCCCGGTCCGGGGAAAGCCGGGCTCGGAGCTGGCGGTGTTAGCGAGGTGGAAAGGAGCTTCCGAGGGGCTGGCTGGCTCCGACTCAGACGTAAAGGCTTGCGAGCCGGTCCTGAGCAGGTCGGCCCGTGGTGTGCAGCTCTGCAGACCTTTGGCCGAGTGCTGTTTGCGGGGAAGAAAGAGGGTTTGATTGCCCGGGAAGCTGCTGGGATCAGCACGATGCGCTCCGTGCTATTAGAGCGGAGCCTGATAAGCCGTGGGTTCCGGAGCTGAGGCAGAACCTTGCCCAGAGCCGATCTCGGCGTGCAGTGACACCCTGCGTAGTGGGCACAGGGGTATGTATGCCTCCTGGCCTGACTGAGGTCCTGTGTGGGACAAAAAGGAAACGGGGTGTACTACTCAAGTGTCTATTTGCACCAGAGAGGGTTAGCTAGCTGGAAATTAAGTAAATGCTTCAATATCTTAGAAAGGACTTGAAGGGACTCCATTCACAATGGAACGGAGCAACCATGGCTGAAGTGATGGAGAGGAGCCAGGACGCCCTTTGGGAGATGCTGTCACCTGGCAATCTGTACCATAAGAGACCCATCTTGAGCATGACCAAAGGCCAAACTCCATGAGGCTGTATCTCCAAAATCACCCAACAAATCAACCACCTGCTCAAACAACCACCCGGCAAACCACCCAACCAACCATCCATCCAAAAAAACCCAAACAACAAATGAACCAACAAATAACCCAACCAGCTGCCTAAAAAAAAAAAAAAGCCAACAATCCAACCAACCAAGCAGGAACCATCAGCCAAAGAGCAGCAAAAGGGCAAGAATAGAGGTTTGCTGCCTACTGTGTAACCCAAGATTGCATGAGCTATCCTTTTCATCCAAAGCTGCATCCAAAGTCTGGGCTCTGGTGGGTACAACTCCTGTGTCTCCACACCTTCAGCCAAGCCCAAAGCCATCTCTCTCCCTTTTCTGCTCCACTTTGGCTCTGTTATGAAGCACTCAGTAGCTTCTGAGCTCATTAGGCATTGATCATAGATAGAAATGCGTTTGTTACAGAAGTAGCTGGGAAGGAGGGATAATCTGACCTTTCATAGGGGCATAGAGCTGGGTCCCAGGGAACATCAAGTATTTGAGCAGAATGATACTTCATGTGATTGAAGAGAAAAGGGGTTAAAAACACATTAGCACATTTCAGTGGCCAGAGCCTCTCATGGAGTGGCCACGGGGGCTGCTCTTAGCCGTGTCACTAGGACTCACACCAGTTGCTGCTGCACCATCACCATCAATAGCACAGAACAAGCTGTGCTATTGAGGCCAACTGAGATCAGCAGCAGGTCCCGTCCACAGCCTGGTACATCTCAACACAGTGGCAGGACAATAAGTGACTGTTTCATGCAGACAAATGTGACGAAATGAGAGGGAAAAGAAATGCTAGCGAAGAAACATTTCAGCTAATTATGACAACATGGCTTCTGCACAGGGACCTGAAACAGACAGATCAGGCATGTAGACCACACTGGCACAGACATGCCCTCAGGCTCCTCGTGTGTTAATTCCTCAGCTGCCTGAAGCCCTCGCTCATCCTCTGCTCACCAACACCTAGGTGGTTCAAACCTCATCCCAGTGCCTATGGTTTGTCTATCCTCCCCTTTTTAAGGCATCACAGCCCAGGAATGGGGCTGGGGGGCTGAACTCATCCCAAGGCAGCATCCAACCCCAGCCCAACCCCTCCACAGCGCTCTGTACCCTGGTGTTAAAACAACCAAAATGCTGGCAATCATCCACGGTCATCCTCACTGCTAGAAAGTTTTTCTTGGGTTCAGTCTGAAAATCCCCTGCTCCAACTCAAGTTTTAGTCCCTAGTTATTTTAGCATCCACAAGTCTTTGGCTGTTGGGGAAGAAAATGTTGTTTGGCCCTGGAACAGCTCCAAATCTTTGCGTTAGATGTATTAGTTATCCTAAATTCATAGCTGTGGCTGGGATATATTTAGCTCCTCAAACAAGCCCTACGGCAGGTGAGGGGACTCTGCATGGGGCTCCCCAGGTCCTGAAGGAACCAAGAGCTGAGATCTTCAGACAAGCGCAATGCAGGCTGAGAGGGAGCAGGATGGGAAACATGCTAGGAAGAGCAAAGTGTTAAGTCAGGAGTTAAGAGGCCATGCTTGCAAAGAAACAAGCATGTACCACACTACAGCTTTTCAGCCTATAAGAAAAGGCTCCTGGCAGGGCTTGCTCACAGGGAGCACGAGCACACAGTCCCAAAACACAGCTCTGATGGAGCAAGGGGCTTTATGACAAGGATATCCCAGTGCAGCTGTCCCTGCTGAGGTGACTCCTCAGCTCTTGGCCAGCTCCTGCTCATCTGTAGCACATCTGTATGGGCACCTACACCCAATCACAAGGAGCACATCTGTACTTTAGCTTTTCTTTCCATCACCTTTCCAAGCACACCAGCATGCAGAAATGGCAACCAGAAGCCAAAAGCTCAGTGACTTTATGCTTGGAATGAGTGACAGTTAACACAGAAGCAGATAGCGCTGATGAGGATCTGGGAGTTAAATTAGCTGACAAAGTTTTTGAGAAGATAATCTCTTTCTTTCCTCCCCAGCTACTTCTCACTTTGCCCACTGACCTCATCAAAAACATCACATCCCTGTGGCATCCTTTCTTCTCCCCATGGCCATACTGGGGCTCCCGCTGAGTCCAGCTGAAATCTGGCGTCAGATTGCTTCAGGCCATCCAAAGGCATGACAGCACATGCTTTAGCAGGGAGCAAGGTCAAATATCCGTGTGGTTCATCAGTTCCTCCTTCCTCTTTGGAGATGTTTTAAGCAGATCATTCTTAAGCTTGTTCTGACACAGAATTTACTTGAAGGCTTAGCAGAGGGAAAGGTGTACAACTGCAACATCCCATGGTGAGCAAGTGTTCTCCCACCTCCAGCACCAGTGGCATGTCAGCCACGTGAGCAGACATAGTCCCGCAGATCATAGAATCATTTGAGTTGGGAGGGACGTATAAAGGTCATCTTGTCCAACTTCCATGCAGTGGGGCTGACTCGCCGCATTTCCACCAGGCTCACATGAGGTCTCAGTGAATAATCAAGGCAATAGAGGCACAAGCCCTGCCTAAGCAGAGGCTGGACCAGGCAAACTCAGAGGTTCCTTCCCACTCTGGCCATCCTGTGGTCCTATGATAAGCACCAAGCTGATCATATCTCCATGTCAATCATCTTCAGCACTCGGATTTATCAAGGTTAGGACCTTGCCTTGCCCTGGTGCATCTCTGGTGCCACCTGGGTGGCTGGGACATAGGCAACACGCTGGCATGTAGAAAGCTGTGTCACTGTGCCAGAGTACACTTGTGACAGGAAAATCCAGCCAAAAGGCAAAGCCAGGAACACAAGCTAATTTGGGAACACAATGGTTACGCTAATCAAAACACCTTCCAGAGGAGGAGGGAAGGAAATTACCTAATGCTTTACCAGGCGGCATGGTTAGGGCTTTGCACAGCTTGGAAGGAAGGGCATTCACATCCAGGCAAGGAAAAGGTGCCCTCTGCATCCTCAGGATGGGACATTCAGTGTGAGAGAGCGCTCCCTCTCCCTATCCTCAGACTGCTTTTGGTCCAGGTAACTGTATGGCCCTCTTGAAAGTCTGTCTGGACAGAAGTCCATGTGACTTTAAGAGACAGTCCTTAATAAGAAGCACCAAATGCTTCAGGACATACAAAATCTGGTGAGATGGTACAGAGCCACACAAACTTCTCTTCTTCCACTGCCACCAGGTTGTAATGGGGAAACCAGAGTTTTTCCTCACTTCCCATCTTATAAGAAGTTGTGTCAATTGATTGACTCAACATCTGGAAATTGTAACCAGCTGAAAAGAACCCAGCAAGGATCTAAACAAGCCCGCAACACAGCTCCCAGCTATGAGAACTCCCATTGCATGGCCCAATATATAGAGAACGGCTGTCTGGGTGGTGACACCAAGAAACTGTGGGCATAGGCACTCGGCAGAGGTGATTATAGAATCAAAGAATCATAGGATCTTTAAGTTGGAAAAAGTTGGAATCACCATGTCCAACTGTCAGCCCATCACCACTGTGCCCACTAAACCACGTCCCTCGATGCTACATCCACATGCATGCTGTATGCACTATTTCCAGTATGTCACTCCAAGTGACTGTAAAGTACTTGGGAGAGAAGGGCAGCAGCATCAACCCCACCTTTCAGGGAAGTTCAGGCAGGAAGAGGACAGCCTCTCCTGGGTCTCTACTGCATGGTGGAAACATCTCCCATGTCCTAAAATGTGCTGGCTCCCCTCTGAGCACGAGGTCATCCCTCCATTTGTAGCTGTTGATGCAGAATGCTTCCTTTTAGAAAACCACGTTCGTCACTCATATAAAACAAATACACCCC